AATTTTAATTTTTCAACAAACCATAAATATTGTCGTATTTCCTTGCAATACGCCCTATGACAAAAATTTTAACTAAAGTATTATCCTTTCAAATTATTTACCTATATATTTGTGAGCATGTTGACATTCTAAAATGAAATTTATTTTCACTATTATGAAAACTGTTTTGTATGTGCGTTTGAATTCATTATAAAATTTGCAAAATTTTTTACAAGTGTACCAAACATTCCCTTAAAATTTTATAAAATTATCTATAATAAAATCATTGAGGTGTAAAAATTTTCGGTAGGACAATGATCTTTTGAATTTATTTTTGCAATCGAAACAATAAAGAGAAAGATTCGTACAAGACAAAGTATATTTGTCGCAATTTTTCATTTTCTCCTAATAATCCTATACATGTAATATTGAATCCTTTTGTTGAATAGAATTTACAATCGTAACTGTTAATAAATAAATTATATTTCATTGGAAATTAATTGTCACAAAAATACAAGTTTAAAATTTTTAACAATACAACAACGGCTGTCAATTTATAATAAATTTTATTTGTTCTTTAAATGAGACCCAACCTCAAATTCGCATTCATAAATAGCAATATCACATACATTCCTATATACATAAAAACATATAACGTACGTCGATAACTACAACATTTTGAAATATGTAATTTATAATAGCTATTTGATTTTCAATTATTTGCAAGATTTCTATAAAATTTTGTATTTGCATTCATTGGAAAAATTATTTATAATGCACATTACAATAAAATTGTAAACATTCGATTTTTGCAAAGATGCGTGCGAAAATTTTGGTCGTTGTTGTTGTGTAAATTTAATTTTTCCTTTTTTTTTTTAAATAAATTTATTGAAAAGTTGTTGTGACAATTTAATTTAATGACGTTTTTCTTAAATAATGAACCATGCCTTTTTCTTATCCCATTGAATTAAAAACCGATGACTGCTATTGAAGGGGTGTTTAATTTAGATACAGTTGACATAACAAGAGTAAAATTTGTGTAGGAAGTTTTTAATATCGGTTAATTGTTGTAATTATGAATTAAAAGTAGGGCATTCATTTTTAATTATGGCTTGAATTAATGGAAAACTTGTTAAATTCGAAAAGGACATAAAATAATTTTCATCAAAGAAGGTCTACGATTGTGTTTTGTAAAAGAATTTTCATTCACATTAAATCCATTATGTTTGAAATCCAATTTGAACATCATTAAACATCATTTGAACGTCAATTGAAAGTCACAATTAAAGTTTAACGTTTCTGGTAGAAATTGCACTGCATATTTTGGAATATTGTGTAAATAGAGCCAAGTATAAATTTTTTTTGAATTACCCCGAGAATAAACTGAAATGTATTTTATTGCATGTATAAACCGAAATTAATAATTAATAAGTTACTAAAGAAAATTAATACTAGCTCAGTATTATTGTACAAATCAGCGTTTATAGTACACAAAATTCGTTAAGCTACTTACTAATTTAAATATTAAACATTCAAATTACAATCATTAAATAAAATGCATTTTTTATATTTTACTAAAAATTCACATATAAAAAAAATTAAATTTCGTATCACTTAATTTTTTCCAAGAAAAATCTCTCATCGTTATTGTAACCAACAATAACTATGACATTAGTTCTGTCTTGCTATTGTAATTCCCATTATTTGTTAAAAAAAACAATTGCGAAGAAAATCCTGCTGTTGACACTCGACGTATGTCACCATTATCACCACACCACATAATATCAACACATAATCATTGTGAACAGATGAATAATACAAAAATTAACCATGGTATTTTAAATATAGGAAAACTTTTTAACCAAAATGAAAATATAATAGAAAATTTTTAAGATTTTAGCATTTAGATATTTAGAATTTACTGAAAATAAAATGCATTCAACAACAAAAAAAAGGGTGACCCATTTAAATACTGTAAAATTTTCGATGGAATAAACGCACACAATATGTACACATACATGTAAAACATAAGTAATTTTTATATATGTGAGTGTGTTCAATTTTATATTATAGAATATAATTTTATATTATAGATATAGAAAAACAATGCATTCAGGATATGGTGTCTGATCTATATTGTAATTTTTTGCCCAAACAACAAAGTTGATTGTTTTATTCGAATATTCAGTATGCAGTTTTATTCAAATATACTCCGCATGTAAGAAAATGACTAAGTGACGCTATATTTGTTTACATTTAATATTTTACTAAAAGTAAATTTAAATGTCAAGATCCGTGATACGACGATCAAACCAATCATAAATGTCTGCTTCTACCTCAGAATTTGTTTTTATTTTTCTCTTTGGAAATGGTTATATACAAAATTTAACGTTATAAATATATTAAAGTTTCCAATAAAGAGTCTGACAAATACCCATAGCTCCACAAACTGTACGAATTTTTAATGACGGTAATTAAAAAAAACCAAATTGCTAATGATTGCCGTACAGGCCTAATTCCAAATGTGACCAGTGTATAAGCACGATAATGATAGTGGTTGGGTAATCATTTTTAAACCATCAAGTCTGTCTCAAGGATTGGTATTACTTATGTCCTTTTAATCAACTACATTTAATTACTTTTTATGATCAGTGATTGAATTACTATTATTGTTAATTTATAATACAAATTGTTTGACAGCAGCCCAACTTACAATTTAAACATTTCCACAATGATTTTATTTCTCGAAATTCAAACATGAAATACCTTTTCAATTTTACCAAAATATGAAAAGTTTTTTGGTAAATTTACCTTAAAACCGGTGTAAAAAGATTTTTCAATAAATCACGTTGTTTTTTACCCTAAAGACAACAATTTATTTAAATACTTAACCCTTAATAAAGATTTACAATACAAACAAACAATAAATGATGTTCCTACACAAATAAATTACACATAAATGGGAAAAAAATATGTGTATGTGTATTTTGTTTACGGATAATCTTTTATAAATATATAAACATATTTATCTATACATTTAAGAGTTTTTTTTCCAAAGATACTTGTATTTATTTATCTATTTTTAAATTTAAACAAGCTAACTATATTGCCCTTGTTTTTTATGCTTGAATATTTTAGGGGAGTCAATTAAATCGGCAGAAAACCATGTTTAAATAGTGTTGGTGTATTGAAGTATATCTTTAATTGAATATCTTTTAAATTGTATTTAGAGTAAATTGGAGGCAATCAAGATGAATAACCAAATAAATAATGAAGTGAATGAATAAAAAATTTTGACCACAACATGAGGATGAATCATTAAATTTATAAACGGACCTCATAGATTATATTTTTACATTTGTAAACTACAGTGAAGTTAAAAAATTTATTGGGCTTCTAAATTTTATGTTCTTCGTTTTGCTTTGATTTTTCAAGACTTTATTGCGAAAATTAATAACACTTAATTAACACACGACACTAAATATTTTCACCAGCATACAAATCTCAAGTTAGCCACATTACCAGTATTCGAAAGCTATGTCTATAGCAAGCCCATTTCAAATGTCTTTACACAAAAAAGCAGCAGTGGAAAATTGCACCTCTTATTCCAATGTTTCCCAATATTCTTGATTTACTTAAAAATCAACTTAATCAATTTACTTAAAACTCAACTTAGAATACTATACGAGTAGTGATCGGCACATGTTGCAATGGTTATAATACTTTTAAAAACTCATACTACGGATAAACATACGTTATGGCATATCTAATATTACTCTCAAATGCGAGCATAACGTAAAATAAATATATTTTTTGTAATATATTTGAAGATTTTTTATAGAAACTGTTGATATCGTAAAACGATCAAATTCTTTTCGCAATAATATAAAAAATCAGTGAAACAGAAAGAAATTTCTTATATATACGAGGTATAAGCGACTTATAATTTTATTTTAGGTGTTGTCAAAAAGTTTAGTTGTTTAGGTGTCAATGGATGAGTTTCACTTGTCTTATGACTTCTTTCTACTGACTTGTTGGAATGTTTGTAGTAATCTTGATTTTAAAGTGCATTGATAAAATAAATCGGTCATTCGAAGGTGAATCGATTTTCAATCATTTTTTGCTTCCTATAATAAACCTTTGTGTTTTTAATAAAATTTTATTGAACGCGTTTCTTAGCACCTCCCAAATATCTCCCGAGTTTTGGTATAAATTAAAAAAATAATTATTCTATTTCGTATTAGTCATTATAGTTATACTTTATTTACGTATTTTTTTGTTTTGTTTTCGTTAATAATAATTATTTTATAATCTACATAAATAAATTTAAAATTGTACATGACTTTTTCTTATTTCAAAATCTTGTCCTTTATATAATTTTTAGTTATAATGCACAATATGTATACATAACTCTTTTCTATATACAATGTATTTAATGTAATTATATGTAATTTTTGTTTTCAAGTAATGCGTGTACTAAACGTTTACGGTTTTCACTTTTATTTAGATGTAAAATTACTATTTTTAATTTGTAGTTAACTCTATTAAGTACTATATATACATAAATGCTTATTAATTCTGCTATAAGTATGTATTAACTGGATTCACCATAGCTGATTGGCCGTTTCTTTTATCACTTATATGGCAATTACTAAACTCTTAAACAATTACCTTTTATCTAGCTACTGAAATCTTACAAGTTATCGTATAAGTCATAATTTACATACTGGTTTCCTCAAACTCTTGCATGTTAGTCATAAATCATTTTGTATTTCAACAATAATAATATTTAAAATTTTTTATAAACATTTCATTATTTACACTTTGATTTCAATGTCATTCACATTTTTTTATAAACTAACATAATTTTAATTACACAAAAATATTTTTTATATTTAAATTAAAAGTTATTCGAATACCTTAATAGAACAATTTCAAAGAATTAACTATATTCAACTTAAGACTAAACATATTTAACATACTTTGAGGCGGCTCTTATTTTACTGATGATAATTAGAATTTCATTCTTCCCGGCCATCTCCAGGATTACTATTACGATCTGTTGTAGCACCATTTGATTCAGATTGGTCACTTTCTGATTGAATAATTGAAGACAAATAGCCTGTTCCGGTATATGGAGCTGCCAAAAATCTTTTTGCATGTGCTTGCATAAAAGAATAACGATTTGTTGGAGAACCGAATACAGCAGCTGGTGGCACAAGTGGTGAAAATGCAGATTTTAGTGGAAATGGTGGTGATGGTGCTGGAGCAATACTATTCATTGCTTGCACTATATCTTCACCAGATAACATTGCTTCCATGCATTGAACAACATCGCCTCGATAGCGTTGTAACAATTGTTCAACTTCGGTACGACGTCGTGTTGGAAAAACTCTAAGTAAAACATCAACTGGTGAGCGTTGTTGCTGAGCTACTGCAGTAGCTGCAGCTGTTGTAATTCCTTGACTATTCAAATATTGCGAATGATGATATGGTATAAATCCTTGGGTGCTATTAACAATATTTGCTGCAGCTGCAGCTGCAGCCGCCGCTGCCGCTGGAGATAAATTTGGTGTATTCGTTCCATTTTGGTGATGTGGTAACTGATGATGATGATGTTGTTGTTGTTGCTGTTGTTGATGGTGATGCTGCTGGTGATGTTGATGATGGTGATGGTGACTTCTCAAAAGTGTTAAATTATCTAATGGTGTATTAGGAGGGGATGTTGAATCATCTTTTTTTAAACTAAGATTTTCTGGTGTAGCTTCATCCGGAGCTGAATCAACATCTAAATCTGATTCTGGTGAACTAGGTCTTCCTGTTGTTCTAGCCGGTGATAATTGCCCAGGTAAATTAAATGAAATATTTTTATGAATATTATGAGGGCTACTTGGTGATGATTCTGAGCCAGTATCTTGATCGGTTTCATTTGAAAGTCGAGCACGTTTTGATCCTGTTAATATAAGAAAAAAAAACATAACAAAATAAGAATTTTAATCAGAATAAACAAAAATATTTTAAAATAAATTGATGTAACAGAGTCTTTTAAATATTTACTTTCTCATGGTACAAAAAAGGTAGAAAATAAATAACTTGAAGCAATATTTTTATTTAGAAATTAATCAGCATTTCAAATTGAAAATTTTTAACTTAAGAAGAACTCAAATGTAAATAAAAATAGAATCCCACCCAACAAGTCTTTCACCTGTACACTTTCTTTTTATTCAAGATTCTAAATTCGTGTATGAAATACACCTATATATATGTATGTAAAATTTTTTCATATTTAAGGGTAATATTGATTGAAATCTGAAACAAAATCAACAAATTGAATTTTTTTAAGTAGCAATATATGGGAACTTCGTACATAAAATTTTCTACAGGGTTGTTTAAAAATAATTTCATTTATAATATTATGTAAGTTTTTTTAAAATTTTCACTAAAACTAAAAATGACTTCCGGAGGGGATGATTCCATTGAAGATCAATTTTGATTTGGCAATTTTTTTAATTTTTCAAAATAGAAACTCGATAATATTTAGGATATATTAATGATTATGAAAAACTTAACAAAATGTTAACATTAAACATTGAAATACGCACCTATTCTACAGCTCATAAGTGGAAATGTTGTGAAAAGTAATTACAGAAATTAATACTCAAATAAATTGTTTTAATTTTCAATATAGTTTGATCTTAATAATATTGTGGAAATACTTGAATTAAATGCTGCTGTAAGGGTAATAATGACTCTGAGAATAAGGACAATGAAATCTGAATTTCTTTATTAAGATATGTATTTGTAAAACCAAATATGTATGTATGTATGTACTAACTCATTTGTTACAAGTTTAAATTTGGTTAACAGAATAGATTGAAGGAATAACAATTTCAAATTATTTTAATTATTTCCATTTAAATTCAAAATGTTCAAATGAACAATTATTTGGACTTCTTGTCTCTTACTCTCACAATTATTTCATTTTATAAAAAAAAATAGGGTAAAATTTTTGTTACTTTCTAATTTTCAATTGAAAATTATTTAATTAAATTTTTCGGTTTATTTCAATGGTTACAAATCACAATCAAATTATCATTCTTTTCTGTATTATAATTTTCTCTTTCATTCTTACAAAATTAAATTTGGAAATTTTGAAACACCCTTTCAATTGTGTATTATTCAACAAAAATAACAAATTCAATTTCTTATTGCTGGAATCGTTTTTCATTCAGAAAAAAAAAGCAATATTAACTTTTTATTAAAAAATTTGTGTGCACAAACATACACACATACACTTTTTTCGAAAATAAAAATATCAATTTACTTTGAAATCACAGAAAAGAATGAACACATTTTATTGTAAAAATCATAATATCCTGATGTAAAATGTAAAAGATTTAATATGTTATAAAATCCCAGAGAAAAAAAAACCAAAACGAGAAGATGTGAATTTTTTTTTTGAAATTCGTTAAAAAAAGATGTTCCTTGCAATTAAATGAACCTTTTCAAGTGCACTTGTAACAACCCCTCTAAAATTATTTATAATAAAAAAAAGCAACAATAGAAAACATAAATAAACAAATACAAAGAAAAACTGTTTCTGATCCTTTACAATGATAGTAAATGATAACGGTTTAATGATAATAATGGTAACAATGATATTGATATTGATAATTTTGGTACTTCTACTGCTATACACAAAAAATATTAATTTTTTTTTTTTTTGAAGTCAAAATTTCTGTAAACCAAAATCTAATTTAATTGGGTTAGTTGTTGGTTATGCGAAAAACCAAATGTTTTCAAATGGAAAAAGTAATATTTTTCAGCGTTAAACTAATTAAAGGCAAAAAAATAAACAACATAATGCCAAATATAATTAAAGGATAACAAAAAAATTCCAAAAAATTAAAAAACAATTGCTTCTAAATTAATAAACTCAATGTTTTAACAGAATTTGGAAGTATTGTATGTCGAATATATGAAATGATAATAATGGTAACAATGATAATGGTAAATTTGTTGTACATTTGAAGTTGTATGGCAGCTACCCGAACCAGTACCCCTATGATATCCAATTTAAATAGGGTTCTGGCATTTACTATAATATTCATTAAATTTGCGAAAATTTGGGAAAATTAACTCAATTAGTTTTTGAGTTACCGTTGGGACGGCCGGACGGATAGACAAAGCTAAATCAACTCAGAGTTCGACGCTGATCAAAAACTTGAGCCTATATCTTAGACCATTATTTCTTAGTGTACAAATTTAGTATACCCTTCGAACATACGTTCATACGGGCAAAAAGAGCTTATTACTTTCATTCTATCTGTTCGCCCGTCTGTGCATTCGTCCGTCTGTCCACATATACGTTTATAAAAACTTCTATACCCTTTAAGATAGAAAGCTGAAATTTTATACACAAAATACTAAAAATGGCATTTTTTAATTATTTATTCTTTCGAAATAATGCTGAAGTGAAAAGTGCCATTAGTTTGATCCAACTCTATTAATTTTAAAGTGACGTTTTGTTCTCCTTTTGGTCCAAATTCAACTTATAACAAAATTCTCTGCCATAATATTTAAATTCCAATAACAATGATGTCCTGTATATTAAGGATAAATTGAGATGAAATCAAAGTATTTTTTCTTATAAGACCATCACAAATTTTTTATTTGTGCGAAATACTCATTTAAACCTTACTTAAAGATGAAGGGGTACTAGAAGTAAAAGATATAGAACATGGAGTACCATAAAGAGAATCTCAATCCTAATTTTCATGTTCCAAACAAATTTTGCGCTTAAATATATTGGTCTTTGAATAATTTTCAAATTCTTTTCTATTGTTACAAAAATTAATTATTTGTAAATATACGATTTTAGTGGAACCATCAACATTCCGTTTTTAAGCCCAACTTATTTGCACACTTGACTATTACGAAAAAAAAATTCTCTTTGTTTCCATTAATACTAAACCAAACACTTATAAATATTTTTTGTTTCATTAATTCTTCAAAACAAAAAGGATAATAGCTTATCAAAATTAAATATCTTAGAAAATAAATATTTGTATTCAAAACAGACAAAACCACAACTTATAAAAAAGATACATTTGACGAGGATACAATTTCTTGGTCTACGCATGTTATACCAAATCATTTTAATAGAATATATGCGAGTAATACAATTTAATCTAAGATCAATCAAAAGAATAAAAAAGGGACCAAAATTATAACAATTGAAAATCGTAACAATTTGGCAGATTTACGATTATTAACAATTGTAATACGATAACATCTGACCTTTAATTAAATTATGTTTGAATGAATGAAATTTAACTAATGTAGAAAAGAAAATATGATAACCATTATAAAATGCACTTATTATTCTGAAAATCAATGTAATTTAAATAGAAAATTGTTGTTAAAATAGATCAAAATAACTTACAAGTGAAATTAATTTACGCATTCATTGATAATTTTGATTGTTCAATGATTACAAATGAAATTCTATAAAAATACTAAAGTTTTATTTTTCATTTAAAGTTTTAATCTCCAAAAATTGATACAAAATTTACGCACGTTAGCTATGTATGTCTTTACTGACGTTAAGAAAACAAAACTTGTAACTAAGACTTTTTTAACATTTACAAAAGTTTTATCTTTTTCCTCGGTCTATTTCACATTTAAAACACAGTTGTGCTATATTTCCTTAAATATGTTGAAATTTGAACCAAATAATTATAACAAAAGTAGTCATTTTAATAGTGTACATCCTGGTTTTTCTATCTTTAGTGCGATCTAATAAAGTAATAAAACTGAAATTATTTAATCTCTTTGATTAATTCAATAAAAAGCTAGGCCGAGGCGAGTGTTGTCAAAATGGAATCTGTTGATCTATGTTATATTTTAACAAATGAAAGTCCAGGCTTTCTATGTAATTTTCTGCATAAAATTGTTTTAATCCAAATCTTACTTAATTTTTTACTGCCTTTTTTAATGTGAAAATCTTAAGAAAGATTGCCACTGCCAAGAATAGTTTATAACCATCACCTTGCCCAAAATTTTACCCAATGTTGAAAAATCGAACCAAAATAATAATTTTCCGGTTGATTTGTCTGAATAGATTGTTTTCATACTTTTGTGGGGTAACGGCATATAAGGATCTATTGTACCCCTCTACTAGGTGTGGGAATACTATGGTTTTCACTTAAACTCTTATTTTAAATAAAAAAAAACTTTTTAGAAATAGCTGATTAAGTTTAATCCTCTAATATTTTTTACCATACCATGACCAAAACCTTACGTTTGTATAAAAAAATATCAAGTTTCTAACATTTCAAATAATTTAAAAATATTTTATATGAAATTAAATTTCAAATTTTGAAATAAAACCAAATATTACAAGGGGTTTCTTAATGTTTCTATTTTTAATGGTAAGTCTAAACAGAGAAACTATAAGGGAAACATATAGAAAATTAAACTTAAGTTGGTTACTCGTGTGTATAGCAATGTTTCCGTTTTTGCCGTTTCTGTTATGTTTTCTGCGTGTTTCAGTTACGATTTTTGGTACAAATTTTGCTAATTGTATCCTTATAGGAACCGAAGATCCCCACATTAACAGAATTTTAATTTGGTGTAATTGTGAATAATTAAAAATAATTTTGCTTTTGTTCCCAAATTTCTTTGGAGCAATCAAAAGTTATCAATATTTTTTTAAATGAAAGAATTTTTAAAAAAATTTAATAGTATCCCTGTTTGTAAGGAAAATTGGATGACAAACGTTAAGGCAGGAGAAAAGAACCAATATGAGAAACAACCAATTTTGGTTCGATACCACCAAATGTAGATCGCTCCAACAACAAGGGTATTAGGTAATCAGAAAGATGTTGCTACCTATTAGTTGAATTGTATAACTTTCAAGCAATAGCCATCTATTAAAAATAAGCTGCGTTTTCTTATAATGTACTTTTACTATTATTTTCCAACCGTACACATACTGCGAGCTTGTAAGTAAGACTTCTAAGCAGTAAATGAACAAATCCAGTTGAATAGGAGGCAAAGCTCGACCAGATTAAGCTTCCGCTATACAACAAAACTTCTATATTTACATCAAAATAGCGTTCTCCTGCAAATAACTATTACTAAGTAGAAAATGTAACAGTCATGCAAGTCTAAAGCTTTCTTAATTTTATTTAAAATTTTATGGATATAACCTTGATCTAAATAAACAATTTCATTTCTAGACATTTTATAATAGTTTTAAAACCAACAATGTGTCGAGAGTATTTCTTTTTTTTATTGCAAAAGAAAAAATAATTTGTTTTTAATTACATCTTTGCAGTGAATAATTTATTATACGCAATTATGAATTTTCATACAAATTTTCCAGAAGAAAACAATCTATTCCTAGAGAAAAAAACAGGCATTTTAAAACCGTTACAAATTAAAATTTTGTATTAAAATTCTGTAAAAAAGCGTTCAAAGATCGTAAGTCTACCGTGAAGAAAACAACAATGGCAATTTCAAGAGTGAAACAGAAATACATACATACACCACCATATGTTAAAAAGAAGGAACTGGTAACAAATAAAAATTCTGTTTTAAAACAATGTTCCAATTTCTTGAGAGTGTTCTACAATACTCTTTATTGTTCATTTTAATTTCATATATAAAATTAACAAAAGAAATCACTGAAAAAACACAACAAAAGCGCAAAACAATTTATCCCACTCACTTTAACCAGAGAAAAATCATAAAATAAGCAACGCTACTGTTAACCATTTTTTAGTTGATTATTTTTAATGTTATTTTTTAAGGAGAACTTGTTTTTGTTTGAAGTCTTTTTTTTAACACTTTTAGAAAAAGTCATGTGTGAATTTAGATTAAAATTTTATTAAAATTGTAATATATTATAAGTGCAACTTGCGCACAACCTAGGAGAAAATGAGAAGATGAAAGAAATTTGTAGCATTTAAAACTCATTATATCAGCTTGGATTATGAAATTAACTCATATGGAAAAGCTTATATGATTTCTATTTCATAAAAAATAACAATCACTACAATTTGTGCATACATACATTACATTGAAATAATAATGTAGGTATGTAAAGTGCATGCGAGTAGCATATTTGAAGGTAGACGTCTAGATTCTTAAAATTTCTTTCTTGTGTAAAATTTTAAATATAATTTTAATGTTAACAAAAATGTAACCATGAAATTATTTTTTTTTTATGTTAACAGAAAGTGAAAACTGGGATTATGGAAGGAAAAAACAAACAATAACAAAACAAATAGGTTAAATTAAAAAAATGTTACATAAACTATAAAAAAGTGTTCAAATTCGTACAACAAATTCGTTTCTTCATTACAGTTATATGTGAATTACAAAATATTTCCAAAAACATTTAATTTACCTGGACTTTCAATATCTGTTCGGCCTGGTGAAAATGTTATTCCTAAACGATCTGATCGACTTATGCGATTTGAATCTAAATCAGAATCATTACCACCACCACAACCAGAGCCAGCACTAAATTGTGATAATCTCTGTGAATTACCATCTAATTCACTTGGTGGTGATGGTATACCAGAATGAAAAACACTTGAATGTGTATTATGTTGTCCATTACCATTATTACTATCACCATTTGGTGTATTTGATTGTTGATGTTGTTGTTGGCCAGTTTGTTGACCATTCTGTGATGATTGTTGTGGTACTTGTGTTGATGGTGGCACTGTATACAATAATCCTAATTCACGTGCTTCATTCTCTTCTTGTGCCTGTTGACGTCTAAGAGCAACCTATATTTTAATTCCCATTTTTAATTTTAGGAAAAGAAAAGGAAGAAGAAAAAAACCGATTAATTTTTATCAATACTTTCATAATTATTTAAAAAATTTACAGTGCATTTTACCTGCGCTGCCATTACACGTTGTCGTTCAGCAATTAATGTACATTTTGCACAAACACAATCTCGCCATCTACAATACCTTTTGTGACCCTTAAGTGCACTCACCTAAAACGGCAAAAAAAGAATTCATTTAAAAAAAATATATAATATTTTTGTTTTTATTTAAAATAGAGAAGAAATGAAAATATTTATATAATGTAGATTTGTAGATTTAAACTAAAGGAAAATAATATGTATGTAAACACCAAAGTAAGAGAAGAATAAAGAAAAACTAAGAAATTACTTCAAATTAATAATGGAACAACAACTTAAAAATTACAATGAAAAATGAATAATTTTGAGCTTTTTGTTTCTTTGAGAACTCAAAAGAGGGTAAAACTATAAAAAAAAAAATTTTATTACAATTTTCAATGCCATTTCCTCTCTTGAACGTTTCATGAAATTACAATTAATACAAATTTGAATTATACAAAATGTTGCTAAACATTTTAATTTTTAAACATCACTAAACACTTTTATAATTGTTGCAATTTGCTATGCTTGAAAAAATTATTTTTTATATTTTCAATCCGTTAGCTCTTAATATTTTCTTTTTTCACTAAAAAGGGGTAATAATTGTTTCGAATCTAAAAAAAAATAACAGTATAGAATAAGAGTAACACGTTTATGCACATATTTAAATATACATACACACATGATTTTACTATATATACTCGTATATTTAAACCGCATGTAATGTAATATTATTAATGCACAATCTCATATATGGTTAATATATTAAATTACTTATAAAGTAAGAGGAAAATTAAAAGCGTGTTAATAATTATTTACAGGCTGTAGTACAATATTTTTTTCTCCTTTCTCGTTTTTGTTGCTTTTTTTACGCTCTTTTAATTATACTCAAAGTGCTTTTCTATTAGCGTTTAAGGAATTGTTAACATTTTAATAATAAGCAATCCGACATTCTCTTGTTAATGAAGTCGACTTGAAACTCATATAAGAAAATTGTAGAGAAAGAATAAAAATGTTGAAAGGACATTTCATTAAGTGTGCAGTGCAAATATAATGTATTTTAAATGGTTGCATAAAAATTGACATTTTCTCTTTTCTATTCAACTCAGTTTTGAATTTTCAAGAACTTACTAAAAATATTTCGAAACGAAACTTACGAAGAGAATTCTACTTCAAATTCTTTTGTAACTATTCATTAAAGGCACTATATTTAGTTGTTAAAATATGTAGGAGCGTGTCAAACAAGAACAATTTTCATTGTTCAAATTAATTTTGTTATACATTGTAAGGTTTGCATTTTTTAAATAATAATTTTATTTTAATGAGTAAGTATACTTTATACAATATCTCGATAATAATTTGAATGTAGCTAAATCACATGGAAAGCAATGTTTGTAACGAATTAGGCGAAAGGATAATTAATAATCCAAAAAAAAATATAAAAAAAGAATAGGGAAATATTTAAATTTTATAATTTATTTTAATTAAATAATAAAAAGGAAAAAGCACAATTGTTTTATTAATTAAAGTTGGTGGATAATGTTATGAAAAATTCAATAGAAAAATTTGATGCTGCAATAAGAAAATTGAAAATTATGCACTCTGGTTTGTTTGAATTCTTACTAACATTCTTGTGTTAAACTATAGGAAAATACGAATTTTGATGTTAATTTACAAATGTTAAATATATTTTTGGTGAATATATTTTTTTTGCTAAATCGGACATTGAATTAATCTATTCATTGCGTTTCCTATTTTCGTACAATTTTATAAGAAAAGAAAAAGTATTTCATACTAGCTGTCCAAATTGTCTAATTTTGTCAGAAAAATCGTAAAAGTTTTCCTAAGAAGTTAAGAAATTTACATAATTCTTAAAATTATCCATATACTTCATTAAACTTATTATTATTATTGTAACTGAAATTATATAGAAAATATTCTTAAGTTTCTAATTTTAAAATTAAATATTTGACATATTGTAGAATAGTATTTCAAAAAAAATATTACCGTCGGTATGTACATTGTTCACGTTTTTATGAAAAGGATACTTTTATACAAACATGTCTCTAATCATGCAGAATTTTTATATCGTACAACTATTGAAAAAATTCGTGAAAAAAGTGAAAGTAAACAAAATGTCCGAAATGAGAGATGTCTTTTATTTTAAGTTAGATGCAGGGAGATTGCATAGTAATATTTGAAGCTTTATTACAATACAAATTTATACAATTAATTTTCATAAATTTTAATTCTAAACGTAAAGGCAAGCGGAAATATTTGAAAAGAATACGACGGCATTCTAATAAATTCATATTCACACAAATTAACAAACTGCAGCATCATAATATATGGCAATTTTCCAAAAAAAAATTATGGTTGCGATATCATTCTCTTTAGAATACCTCAAAAATATTTATTCAAATTTCGAATTTCATTAATTTTTCAAAGTTATTCAAGCACCTAAATATGAAAGCGTTGTAAGTAGATTATATGGCATTTTGGAATTTTCAATTTATTTATTATTTTAATATTGCGTCGTTTTGAAAAAAATTAATAAAGGACTTGAAAATAATTAATAATAATAATAATATAATAAAATAAAAAATTAGGAAATTTTTGAATTATTGCAAATATCAATAGTATAAAAAAGAAATATTAAAATTTCAAAGAAATCATAATTGTTTCCAAGCAATTGAAATGACATAACTATTCAAACATAGTAATTATGCATACTTAATAATAGCCACAAATATTAATTGTGATTTAATGAACCAATTTTCCATATGTATAACAAAAATTAGATTTCAAATTCTTCAGTGCTATTAATTTTCAATCTCATTATTTAAATTCGTAAAAGTATACATTGAATTTTATGTACAAATAGTTATGTTAACGTAGAAAAGAAGGAAAAACAAAACATCTTTTTTTTTTTGTTTTCTTTAAATCCAATAATCTACTTACAACTCCATGATTTCTACATCTCGCGCATCTTGGAGTTTTTTGATAACGTTCAGATGCTGCTCGCAATAAAAATGCTGAAGGAAATGCTCCTAATACAGATGCATGTTGTGACATAAAATTTGACATATCGATTCCGTTAGGTACATTCATTTTTAATTTTTTTTTTTATAAAAATTAATATTTTTCACTTAACGTCACTCTCAGTTTTGTGAATATTTCGTAATTGTATACCGGGTAGTATAATTAAATTTTATAAAGTTGATTAAAATGGTATATGTATAAGAGTTTTCTAAGGTGATATTAATTTGTTATTTAAGGAAGAAAATAATGTCTTTTAATTTCATAATTCAACTTTGAATTTCAAAAGTTTTTCTACATAAATTTATAATAATAAATTTTAATATTTATAAGCAATTTTAAATTTGTTTCAAATTTTTTTTGGCATTTTGTTTTTATTCTTTTGTTTTACTTTAATAACTTACAACTCCATGATTTCTACATCTGGCACATTTTGGCGTTCTCTGATATCTTTCTGATGCGGCACGCAAAAAGAACGCTGGAGGTAAAGCTCCTAAAACTGGATGCTGTGACATTAAATTTGACATATCGACACCATTTGGTAAACTCATCATCGAAATTGATTTTAATTTGTTTTTATGTATGTAATATTGTTAATTTATTTATTTTTATCTCACTATATTCCAAGTAATGTCTTTTTTTATTAACTATGTTGCGTTTAAAGCACAATTTTTAATAAAATATTAAAATTTTTAGGATTTATTTAAAATGTCAAAATTATTTTATGTTAAAAATTCAATTTACTCAATTCAATTATTCAATATTATTCTTTTTATTATTAAAATGTAATTTGCAAAAAAAAACAAAATAAATTCAAATGAAATTTTATTTTCCAATCAATTTGGATAACACTCATTTATGCACACATATTTAAAATAGTTAAAAAAAAATATATTTTATTTTAAGAAATCACAGAAATTGCAAAAAATGAAACTTATACTAAATATTATCATTAATGTTGATAGAATCATTACTAACTTTTAACTGTTATGTAATTTAAATCAGAAAAAAAAACTTTCAAATAATCACAGTAATAGATTTATAGATTTTAACTATATATAGAAAAAATTTTATTATAATTTTTTTCATTTATTATTAATTTTCCACATATAAATCAATAAGGATAATTGTTTGTATTCACCACAATTTTTTCTTTTAATTTTCCATTCTCTTTAAAATGTCCTTAATACTGTTTAATTGAAATTAATTTAATCCATATATAGCAAGTATACCGTTACGAATATACACATACGATATACATACTATTAAACATAAACATGTATATGGGTATAATATTTTAAATAATTAATTCACCTCTAATACATTAAAAGGATACGCGCCAAACACGTCATTCTCTAACAAAATATTAATCGAAACTGAAATTGAAACTTATTAAACACAAAATACAATTCATATTATATAAAAATACTCTAAAAAACAAAAAAAAAAATAAGAATACAATAATAACAATAATAATAACAAAACCAGTTATAAAATAAAATTCAAAATGAAAGAATATAAGTTGAAATTTTTTAGTAACAAAATTAAATATATCGAAATAGTCACACATTTACAAAATATATACATACTTATATACACATAAATAAGTCGTTTTTTTTCCCTTATTTGTTTCATATATTTTGCAAAAATTGTATCATGTGGTTCCGCCGCCAACAGCCAACCAAAGCACCAGAACCACTATACACATATACATATATGTATGTAAAGAATGTGAATTAAATTTATACACATTGTTTTAATGTACGTATGTGTTTGTATTTCAATATTATACATAAAATTTACAAATACAAAGAGAAAAGTTAAAAGAAAACGACGTAAAAGAAAACACGTAAAAAAAAAAAAAAATTAACAAAATAAAAATAAGAGAAAAACAGAAAATAATAAAAATTCATAATAGTAAAGAGAAATAATTATTGTTACAGGATATCCTTTGCAACTTTCCATTTTGTTATTTTTTATTTTTTATTACCCTCTATATTTAGTTTAGAAAAAAAAATTCTACTATTTTGTTTTATACAAATATTTCAATATTCTCAGAGGGAGGATCTATAAATGTATTTGTATAAAAACTTGTTATATACACACTCTGTGTATATTCAACATATTTGTATAACAATTATAATTAAGAACGAGATAGAGTGGTCCTTTTATAAAATTTATATGAATTTTTTTTACATTTCATTTTATTTTCTTACTAAAGAAAGAGAAACAAACTTTAACCTTTACTAACACATTTAAATAATATGAAAATTAGTAAAAGAAAACAAAGTATAATATTATTTATGCTATTTTATTTTATTTAAGTTTATACACTTATTTCTCTATTAAAACTAATATTTAAATGTTCGTGGAAGATTCCCAAAAATTTTAAATAATTTTCTATACATAATTTTAAATTGGTAGGGCTTTATATTTTTAGACGATCTATATGTAAGCGAAAGTATATACGAAATTAATTATTCAATACAACAAAATATATAAGAAATGTTTGTAACAATGATGATGTAAAGCTACATAATGTTATGTAGTAAAAGTTTTAGTTTCAATTTTCAATTGAAAATATTCTTCTAAGTAGATTGAAATTTAAAGAAATTTTTAAATAGAATTTAATATTTTATACCTTGCGTATGTATGTACATATGTGAATTTTGAAGTTTTGAAAATTTTAATTAAATCATTTTAAAACAAATTTAAAGGCATTTTATACTTATAATGTACAGATAAATTTAAAATGTAAATCGTTTTCTTGCATTTTCGATTTGTAATAAGATTTGTAATCGATTTTAAAGAAATTTGACAGACAGATTTTAAACAAAAAAATTTATTTGGATTTATAAATAAATAAATTCGGATAAAACAAATGGTTTGTAAAATAGAACTTGTACCCTTGATTATGTGAAGGCCCTTAAGAAAAAAGATATTTTATTTATTTTACTTACATTAATGTTATTAATGCAAATTATTGCATATTTTTAGGATGAGATTAAAAGAAACAAATGAAGATGTATTAACATAATGGCCGTGTTTTATAACTAACTAGAGAAGTAATTAAAACAAATTTTTATACTTTTCAATTACAAAACATTTACTGTTAGTTTTCGAATATTAAAGCAATTTGGAAAAGTAAGCAGTTTCGAAAATGAAAGGCGCTGAAAATTAAAATTTTATTAATTTTGTGAGGCCATAACTTGCAGGGAATGAGGCGTGGAAAATGTTTTTTTTTATCCAAATTAATTATTTAGCAATATCTAGAAGGTCCTAAAGGAAGCTCAACAATAGAAGACATAAGCAGTTTCGATATTCTGTGTTTCGGAAATTAAAAAATCTGAAAGCAACGAATTATTTGAAAAACAAAAAAAATTCATTTCTACACTTTTGGAGGGGTGTAATTTTAAGAGGAATGGTTAAAATTGTTTCGTAGAAAAGCAAATTTCTAGTAAAGAAATCTTTAAAATAAATCTAAAAATTTTAGTTTTCTCTTTCAAAGGGTGTAGGTATTTTGTACACAAACAATAGACGGATAAGCAAAATTAAACTCTTTTATCAATTTTGTTGGAAAAGCGTATTATTTAACTCTGTTAAAATTGCATACTTTTAGGGGCCAATTGAAATTTTTTTTTTTAAATTCAAAATTTTCCGTTAAATTGTGTCAAAGAGAAACTATTCTATATGTATTTTGCTCGTGTAAGTTGTTTGGCAACACATTTTCAAATACAAAATATATGAAAAACTTTAAGTATATTAAGTAAAATTCTAATAAATTTGAAGAAAACTTTCTAAAACTACGTTAAAATCTATTTGTAGCACTTTTAAATTTATCCTCGAAATTAAAACCTTTGAAAAAAGTATGAAAATCTGATCAAATTTTATTTCTAGAAATTTGTAATTAAAATTAAAAATCTTTACTTAGGTAAAATAATAAGGCTCTTAAATCTTGTAACAACTAAAAATTGGAACAAAAAATTTTTTAATCAATATGTCCATTTACAGATTTCATTTCTCCAGAGCTCTACATATATTTTGTTAAAATTATAACTCTAAAATAACAGGCAAAAGTAAAAACATTAAAAATTTTTGCTTGAAATTCAGATCCAAGAAAAAATGGGATTTGAATATTTCAAAGCTCACTTATGCCGTTTCGCGGTAAAAGAATCATTTCATTATTTGTGATTCTTTGGGTTTGTGGAATTTAAAAAATAATTTTAGTTTTAATAAAACAAATAGTAAAAAATCGCATTGATGAGATTTGGAAACTCTAAAACTTTTAAAGAAAAGGAGGTGAGTAAAAAATTTTTTTCGAAAATCTTCCTCAAAAAAATTGTTAATCTATTGTATTGTGAATCAATACAATAGAATTTTATCTTTATCTTAATCATAAAGGATGTTGAAGTTTTGTAAACAGACACCAACGGACGGAAGCGTGAGCAGTGAGATAAACGCACGGATGGGTAAATGAATAAAGTGAAATTAATTAGCACTCTTTTTCAAATTTTGTCGGAAAATTGTTAAAAGGAAAGCTGCTGGCAATCTTTTTAAGAAAAGTATAGCATTTTCAGTATTAACGTTGCTAGCACAGCCTCTTGGTCAATCTCTTGACTGTAGTTCAGATATATCATATGCTCTCGCATACTCTGCACACATAATTATGTTTAATTATCGCCATAAAAAAATGCCATCTTTTAAAATCTAATATCTGTTACATAGGGAAAGAAAATTTTTCCCTTAGTTTGTTTTCCTTATAGCTAATATTATAGTTTCCATTATTAATTAAATAAATATTAATTACAAATGCAAACAATACAACTTACATACTCCACTTTCGTTTTATCTTAAAAGCTAAAAATTTTCTATTTTTATATTCGTTTTTCGTTTCCTTCTTTATAAGCATTTACCTTATAAAATTTCAAATAAATTCTATTTATACTAATTCGCATATCATTAAAATGAAATCGAAACAAAAGTAAAATTATATAATTAAAATAATTAAAAATAATTGTATGTATATGTATAATAGCTTATTTAATAATCACACACATATTCATATATTTTGTGTCTAAACCAAATTCTTTTGAATAATTATTCAATTTTATAGTATAAGACTTTTACATTTGATTTTCATTGTAATTTATAATTCAATTTTAATTAAAAAAAAAAGTAATTGAAATTTACTGAGAAGAAGAAAAAAAATTTGAAATTTTATGATAAAAAAAAATTTTCTTATAACAATATCATATGTTTCTAATGTGAGTAACAAAACCAATAAAAAAATGTTGTATCCTTACCCCACTTAAAATATAACAATAAAAAATCATTATACATTTGTATAACATTGTGTGTGTATATATATATATTAACAGTTTTACAACAAGTTAATATTCTTTTTTTTATTAAAATTTATTGTAATATTAACGTTGAAGTAAAATTCTCTCTATTTGCTTTTAAATTTAAAAAAAAAAAAAATTTTTTTTTATCCTGCCTCAATCTTCTCTTGTATTCATTCTAACATCCTTTTATTTTTATTTACATATTCCTTTTCCTCTCTCTCTCTCTCTCTATCTCTCT